GGCTCTTAGGAGGCTCAGGGTACACGTTGGTGGGGGTGGGTGCGTATTCAGGAGCAGATAAGGTGGCCTATGTTTCTGAGAGATTAATGTAGGAGGAGAGCTTCAGAGCCTTACAGAGTTGTTATGGCGTGGTCTGGGCAAAGGTTGGGAGGACTGTCCATGCAGGCAGCGTGGTTGATGGGGGAGCTGAATGTTGGAGGCTGAGTTTTGTGTGATGTACGTTATTTGTGGTAATTCAGAGGAGTATGTGTAGACAGGAGATTTGTGATGGTAAATGTTTCCTACATGCTTCCCTTTGGGGATCAAAATAAAGCCTGTAGGGTTTGTAGGAGGCTCTTGATATCCACACATCCTGTTTTAAAAGTTGAGATAGCATCATGCTTTCAGATTGTTTTTATTAATTCCTTAATCTAGAGAGTGGCTCTTGTGCAGTAGGTCCATGGTATCAGTAGCTTGCTCAGCACTGCTGTGAGCACTGAGGGAGCAGCTGGGAAGAAGCGGATACTGTTACTGCAGCCTTAGAAGATGAGAAATTAAATGGTGTTTCAGATTTGCTTTTTTATGTATGTGAGCAGAGGATAAAATCCACCTTGTGATCCTGCAGAGAAGTAGAAATTCTCCCCCATAAACCATGTGTCAATTCCTTTTCTCTTCTTGTTTCTTGAGACAAACCAGAACTTGAGCTGCGGCTTTATTTAATGTTTTGTGTTTCACTGAGTCTACCTGAATCTCTTTTGTGTTCTGGCATCCCACCTGTGTCTGTCTGTGACTTCCTCTGAAGCTTACCCACCTCAGGAAAGATGCATTAGGTGCAACAGGTACGACCATGTATCAAGCTCTTATGTGTCCAAAAAACTTCACAGACTGCTTCAGGAGCCTCCTGGACTATGGTAACATTCACTAGGAAGATCAGAACTTGCTAAAATAGTTGGATGTTGTTGGATTTGAAACTGTCCCATGTGCCACCTCTAGAAAGAAGGGGAATGTGACTCTGAACAGGGAGAGAACACGAATGCTGGAGAGAGATCCTGGTAACAAGACATTCTCTGTTAGTGTTATGCCATTTTGGTGGTTAGATAAAGTAATTTCTTGAAGAACAGGATAAATAATTTCCTCCATGAACTTTGTACTGGCTTGCATTTGCTTTCATAACTTTTTGAGCAGATTGTTTTCTAAATGCAACAATCGATTTCTAGGTACAGACAACAAAGGAGGAGTTTGTCTCCCATCTGGAGAGGTGTGGTGCTTGTCAATTGGGTCTAATCTTCTTATATGAAGGAGCTTGCATAACAGTGTAGTGAAGTGTAAGAGGTCTGATTAAGGCTGTCTTGATCCCTACGTGGTCACTGGAGAGAGTTGGCTGCTATTTGGGGAAGTGGGGGTTGGAGGAGCTGCATTTCAGATGGCTTCTCAGATGCCAACTCTGGGAATACCCTGAAGAGTCTTGTTTGTTGTAAAACTGGTGAATATGTACTGCTTCAGTGAGTCTTACACTAGGCAGTTTTCTTCTGAAATGTTGTTCGATGTACAGGTGCTTCAAATAATGAAAAAAACAAGCCTTGTTTGCTTCAGTCGTGAATGATAACTTTTTTTTTTTTTTGAAGCAGTAGCTTAAAATATATCTCAAGGCTTTGTCTGCTTTGTGCCAGTAAAATAGCCAGGCTGACATGATGTTTTTAATTCTGAATACAGCAAGATTTGATATCTGCTTAATCAAAAGACACAAGCACATTGTCAAAGTTCGGGACCTGAGTTCAAAGGCCTGCCACGTAAAATCAGCTGCAGATACTGCGGGCTTCTAATCATGTGCAGATAGAGAGAGGCTGGAGGAGGAAAACAGTCTTAACTGTCTGAAACGGTAAGGTCATGGATTCTCTTGGTCCTGTGTACACCTTGATCAGTCCAGTAAGCTGTGACAGTGTGCAGTCACAGGTGACGTGGCAAAACTGGCTTGCAAGTAATTAAACTCTTGAGGGAAGTGGCATAGTAACTGTTTGCCACGGGCACAAAACACCTTCTGATGTGTAAGTAACAAGAGGTTGTGAAAAAGGAAAAAGTAGGTGGGCTAGGGGAATGTGGCAAAGGAAAGGAGAGGGTGGGAGGAGTTTGGTGGGTGGTTGGGGATAGGAGTTACGCAGAAGACATGTGAACTGTTTGCATGAATTTATTTTTAGGCTTTGCCCTCTTCTGTCGAGGTGATGTTGGCTCTCGCCTCTTACAGCTAAGCCTGTGCTACATTTCTAATAAGCCCCTTAATTTAAAAAAAAAAATTGTATATTTTTTTTAAGTCCTTGGAAGTCTTTCCAGGTGCGGTTCTCAGATCTCACACGTTTTTGCTTTTTTGGGGAGCGGGGTATTACCTATGCAAACCTTCCTTTGGACTGTGTAAATGGGAGCTCTGTAAGAAATAGAACCAGTGAACGCATTTCCAGTTGTTTTGCCCTGAGATTGTGCTCACCTGCTCCCTGTTCAGATCTGAGTCACTTTCTTTTGTGCACGTTTGCCTATTTTCACAAAACCAAAAGGCGTGTAAGCTACCTACCCTATTGCACTTACAGTTTGATTGTGCAAGCCTCGTTTCCTTAGGCAGCAAGCCTGAACGTTCACAGGCAGGTATATTAAAAAAAAAAGAAAAAGAATTAATTCATCCTTTTGGATGCATACAGCAGTGATAGTCTGAGAGTACGTTACAGCAGGTGTATTCTCCAAGAAAGGAGCATTGACTCCTTTCTCCAGTGAAATCTGGCGTTTAATTTGGAAGTCTGCCTGGCGGTGACTGATACCGGGTCTTTCACAGGAGAACAGAGAATCCCTCTGATGGGAGGCTGATAGATATTGAAATCCTTATGCCCTGAAGCATGACGGTTTGTGTGTCTTGGGAAGCTGTGTACCATTATCTGTGCAGTTGCTTAACTATAGGTGATGTTAGCCCTAGTGATGAATATATATATATATTTAAACCTTAACAGTGAGTTGAATAATTTAATTGCCTAGATAGATTTTGGAAAATGTCTTTGGTACCTTTCCATTTTCCTAATCATCTTCTGTCTGTTTCTGAAAAGTAAATTCAATGTATTGCCTTGTGGTGTTTGTCAAGGGGAATATTTTGGAATTATATTTCATCAGTGCTACGAACCATTGACCAGAAAACTCTGCTGTTCTGAGCAACTGTACTTAAAGGTTGACTGCATTCAAGTTAATATTTCTGAGCTGGCAATTTTCTTTTTTTGTTTTCATTTCACTTTTCTGTTAAAGTTTAAGCAGTTTTCTGCACTGTTTCTTTCATGGCTACTCGCACAACACACTGCAGATTGATGTGATGGTTCGAGTTGACATGTAATAATCTTGATGATTGTTGAAATTCTTTTGGCTGCATGCTGAAATGAAGTTGATGAGCTTTGTTCTTATAACTCAAATGACTACTGGAGAAGAACTGTGAGAGGGATAGTGAAAATCAAATTAACGTCTAATTCTTCTTTAATCTCAGTTTTAAAAGTTCAAAATAACACTGTGTAATCTTCTCTAGTTTTACTTTCCATTTCTAAGGAAACGAGTTATGTGCAATTATACTTTCTGTCAATTCCTCTGCCAATCGTTAGTTTCTTTAACAGTCTGGCAAATTGCAGCCACCTTTGAGACAGGGATAGTTCCTGCAAGTTAGGTGGAAATGGTGCCTGTGGAGCAGAAAGGAGACTCTCCTCGTGCTGCTGGTGGTAAGAACTCAACCCTTATTAGAGACACTAAGAGCAGCTCTACAGGCAGGAGAGTTTATGAATGCCTGAATTAAAAGAGGCTTTGCTCTCTTACCTTCTGAGACAAGAAAACCACTTGATGATGACACACGTTTCAAAGCAGCTTTGAGCGTTGCAATGAGTTGTCTGATATAGGGCTGTTTAAAGCTGTCAAAAGTTTGAGTTCACTGTGTGATTTTTCTTTTTTTTTCTTAATGCTTCATTTACGTAGTTTGCCTGAAGCAGAGTAAATGCCTTTTTTTCTTTTTTTTTTCTGACTTGTTTGTCATAATCACTTGAAGTCTGCTGATTTAGAGCTGCTCTTTTACAGGAGGCTAGGTTAACTTAAAAACAGGGATTGAGGCATCATTTTGTGTATTATTTCATAGTGTCTTTGCATCTAGGAATTGATATATTGGATAAAGAAATTATTTGTTTGTTTTCTTTTAAGCAAAGTACTTTCTAGGTTATGTTTACCCACTTCAGGGGAGATTTTAGGTGGTGAATATGTGTATATTTATATGTATAATGCTGGTCATTAGTTAGTTTTTTAAAATGTTCATTATTATTATCTTTCAGAGATTATGTGAGCTGCTGCGTTAGTCTAACATCTCACACTGAATACTCATGGCGTGTCTGAAGGACAGCTCTCTTGTGTGTTCTGAATGTCCCAGGTAAATCCCAGTAACATTTCATGAGAGATTGTGACATGTCAAAGTGTAAGAAGTCAAGAGAGGGCAACTTTTATTCTGTATTTAGTCATAGTTGATTCTGTTAAAAGAACCTGACAGGCTGTAGCCGAAAATTTAGTTTTGTATTTGTGTGTTATAGTAGGAAATCAGACAACTGCCACACTAATGCAACTATTTGCTACACCAGTGAAGATGCAGGGTGTCAGTGGGAGTCAGCCAGTTTCCATAAATACCTTTGAGAACTTTACTCAGCATTTCTGATGCGTGAGGGAAAGCAGAAAGAGGGTAAATAGTGATTTTTTTCAGGTAGATAATTCCCCTGTCAAATCCCCTGCCTCACTTTTTTATCTCAGAGGCAAAAAATGGACATAGCCGTGACTTTTGGGGACAGTTTGATTGCCTCTCGATGACAGTGGTGTTACAAGAGGTACTGTTCAGCAGCAGTGATGAATAAGCTCTTACCTTGACATATTTCTGGCTAGCATATTAGACTGTAAGGAACTAATATCACACCCATTAATGTGCCGTTAACCTAACTGAATATTTCAGGTTGTCCTCATGAGTACTCCAGTGGAGAATGTCCATGATCTTCTTTGCTTGTGTGGTGCGGGTGAGGGATGGGCTTCCCCTCTCAGCCTCCACAGATTTTCATTTCAACCAGGACTTTCTCGAATGCAGAAAGAGATTAAAGGCGTTATCCTCAATTCTGGCGCGGTATCCAAGTCGAGGCACAGCAAAAGGACGTGACCTGAGCATACAGTAAGTCCCTACTTTTGTTTGGTTGGTTTTTTGACTTTAATTTTTGAAATGATTGTCCTGGGGATTAGTTGAACTTTAGGTAACAGATTTCCAATCCCACCATGCATGTCTAGATGGTAACCTCCAAGCAGTATTTTGAAACCTCATTTCTCAGCACCACAACCGCACAGCTCCTGCTCAGTTTAGTAAACATATGTTAAGATTTCCTTATTTTAGTTTTAATTTTTTGTAGCAAATGCTTTCTGTTCTATGGGCAGCACTTGTTACTATTAGCAATTGAGTATCTTGGACTTCTACAGATACCTTCTAAGATGGCATCCTAGTGCCTAGGAATTACTAAGTTTAGTCTCAACCCCAAACTCTTTTCTTCAGTGGCTGTCAAGTCTTGCTGATGCCTTTTCTCAGGCCCCTACAGTTCTGATTCGGGCTTGCGCAGAGCTGCCCCGACTCCATCCTATGTACTGCCCACCCCATTTTCTGCATACCAGCAGGGTTCAAGTCTCTAGAATCTCTGGCTGATGGATATGTCTTGAGTATACTGAAGCATACTGACAATAACCAGTAGAGAGAAATTATAAATCTTTGCTTTTATTGGAGAAGGTTTTGTTCAGGGATGAAAATTTTTATTTACTATCAATTTTAGTTTAATGCTAAAACTTCAAGTGAGCCTGAGCTAAAACTTAAGTATCCCATTTTGGGGAAGTGTTTGGAGAAAGAAGATACATGAACTTACAGCGAATCAATTGAAAGAACAGAGATTAGCATTTTAATTCCTTTTCTCTCAAAGCGAAGTTGTGCCCTTTAATGCTGACATGTTCCGCTACTTTTAATCTTCTCTAGTAGCTATGCATCTGGCTCTGAAATGAGAGGAGTGCAAAAACGCTGTAAATTATTGACAGCTTGGAAAAGGTAGTTCCACACAGGGGTTGTGTTGATCCGCAGCTGTGAGCTGGGGACAAATGGAATTTAGGAATCTATGCAGTGTAAGTAGGCTGTCACAGAGCTAATCAAAACCATAAATCCCAAGTATGGAGTACAACAAATAAAAATCTGATAAAATAGAAAGCACAAAAAGCACAAGTATTTCTGTATGAGAGGGATGAATTGTATAAGTAGTAGAAAAGAGAGAAAATAGAGTAATTGTTCAGCTTCATAACTTTGGTTTTATACTGAATTATTGCTAACAAATAAAATAAAACCTGCAAGGGAAGATTTCCTCAGTCGTCTTTCGGAGAGAGTTACAAATCTGTAGTTACGGTGGGGATTGTGTAGGTTTAGCTTATCTACATTCTGAGTGCTGACATCTGAACTAGGTGCCCTGACTCCCATCTTCCTTAATGAAGCCTTGACGAAAGTGATTTCTCTCATCCTTAAATGCACGCCTACATTTTGGTCAGATGAATCCCCTCTTAAGTTTTCTAGAAGGCTTTGGGCCATCTGGAGGTGGAGACTTGTGTGTAAATACTGCTTCAGTGTTAGAGGGACCCCTTTTGGAGCAGAATTTTTATTGTGCTCTTTCTGATACAAACTCATCTTTGTTTGTTGCAGATGACTTCTCAATAACTGTCTTTGAATATCTTGGTTTGTGCACATTAACAAGTATCTCTTGCTATTAATAGGAAGTTGTCATATCCAAGGGGAGCAAGGATTACATTTGTTTGCTTCCTGTGAACAAGCTTGCTTGGTTTTACTTTTTTTTTTTTTTTTTTTTTTTTTTTTTTTTGTGGAAGGCCACTGTGTTTTCTTTCAAACTTCTTGCCTGTGATGTTTTCTGGCCATCTGTTTTCTTTTTAATATGATTTAAAGCCAGCCTGGGAAAATAGTGTCCTCAGTTTTTACCGATGTAACAATTTATTACAATCTGTGTTGTTATCTTTAGCACGCGAAGGCATACTGAACGAGTTAAGAGTGAGTTTTAGATCTACAGGGGCTGCAGGACTACTACAGCAGTGCAAACTATATTTTTTTGCTGTCTGCTCTTTCAGTGCAGTCTGTACATTTTATTCAGACAGAAAGCACAGTTTACTCCTCATGTTCAGCATGACCTTTTTATGTTGATGTTACTTTTTTTTTTTTTCTATTTCAGTTTCCTTTCTTCTGGGGATTTTGCCTGCATGGCAATCTGTTCCAGCAGTTACCCAACCACCATGGCGTTTTGCTTCCTGGAAGAGCTTCAGTGGGAATTTACTGCTTCCTACGATACAACAAGCATCAGTTTAGCTTCCAGACCATATGCTTTTCTTGAATTTGGTTTGTAACTTTGTTTTCTAACAGTAAGAATTCTTTATCTGCTACTTTTATGATATTAAACAATGTCTCCTGGGCCTGATCATAAAAATGTGTTTGTGTGTGTGCCTTTGCATGCGGGTGTAGGAGCAGGGGGAGATCTTGTAACTGCATTAAACTATTAGAATATTGATTTTGCAGTTCCTGAGAGCCCCTGTAACAGATGAACAAAATGCTGTGGTGATTAATAAACAAGCACAGAAGAAAGATAAATCCCAAACACTTTCAAACTTAATTAAAAATATCTGACAAGTAGAGACTGATGGATACAGGAAAAAAGGGAGACAGAATAGATTATTATGGGCAGCCTTACTTCTGGCATGACGTAGATTCACATAATACTTCGTAATCATGCCTAGTGTTTCTTTTTTAACCCGATAGAAATGGTTTTCCTGCCAAGTAGCAGCTGCTCCACTGAACCTCACACCTTTGAGAAGCACAATTCCCCTTGCAGTGAGAAACTCTTTTCTGGGAAAGGATAAGATATTGCAGTGAGTTAGCAGGCTTCTGTCCAGATTTTGGTAACAGTGTTAAGCTTATGCTTAAAAGATTGAGAAATCCACAAGGAAAGCATATTATACAGCCATCTTGTATTTTGGGCTGATTCCCCACAGGGCACATTCCAGTCATGA